TATAAATCCTGTGTCTATAAGTATATTCTACTTACCATATAAAAAATCTATTTAAGATTTATAATAATCTCTTGATCAGTAGTATTATTTCACTCACTTTTGTGGGTGAATTAACTGGACTAGCAAACATTAGAAATAGTTCAGCAAATTTAAAAGGATTTAGACCTTTTATAAAAAAGCATTTTAGTCTTTTTATAGCCTGTTTTGATTTTAGTATGAATATACTGGTCACTTACATTAATATTGCGCTTCACAGGCATAAGTTCATCTCCTGAAGTAAGATATATAGGGAACATTTCCAGAGATTTGTTTTGGTGCCCACATCTTGAGCGAATTCATCTTTATCTTCTGTTGTCTCTCTTTCCTGACATCTAAAGCATACTAAAGTGAGCCTAAAGGGACTCTGGAGAGGCTATAAATGCATTACCCACCTGTGGACCATCCTTTCTGAAAAAGAGGGCTACTGATAGGCTGCAGGCGCAAGCCTCTGCTTGTACTCTTGATCGTTGAGGTGATACCGTTGTCCTGTGAACTCACACATGGCAGAGGAATGATAGAGCTTCCTCTGTGTGTGAAGAGTCAAATATGGTTGGCTAAAATAGCTGTGATTGATTTGTGCATATGAGTGGCTATGTGGGAGGTAGTGGTCTGAAATGGGCACTCCTGCAGTACTGGAATGTTTCGGTCGCTCTCGGGGTCCACAGCGCTCTTATCGTTTGGTCAGACCATTTCAGCGCATCCAATGCCACCCAGAGACGCAGCTTCGTCCTTGTCTCTGTATGTATACCTCAGCTTGTTTTTTGACTGATGTGATGGTAACTTCATAAACCCTCAGTTCTTCAGCATAAAGCCCATTTGAGTATTATGACTGCACACTTTCATCTGTAGATTGTTTGAAACTTTTAAATGGACCAGGGTGCAATTCCTTTTAAACAAAAGACTGTGCTTATAATTTCATTATCAAGAAAACACTTTACTGTTTATCAAATTTGTCATTCAGGGCTATTATGCCTTTCCCAGAATTATGTACTGTATTCTGACTTTGAAGTGTTGTTTTTCCTCAGCTTTTAAACAATGTCTTTTTTGTTTTGTCTCAGTCCCTCGCGTGAACGGTCACTCGAAATCAGAGCGGGTGAATCGTGACTCAGCTGTTGGCTTTGACAGCGCATCAGTGATGAGCAGTGAGCTGGAATCCAGCTCTTTTATCGACAGCGAGGAGGATGAGAATGCCCACAGGTCAGACATTATTCAATGTTTCATTTCCCTGGATCAATTAAATGTAAATTTGTTTGGCTCAGAGTGCAGGATTTATTTTCTTTCAAACAATGACTGTACTTATTTGCCCACTGGCATGACAACATTTCACTCTAATTTAATTTGTAAAGCTGGCCAAAGAATTAAAATTTTGAATTAAAATTAAAATTACATTTGAATTTATGTTTAGTCTTTCCCATAGTTCATGCATTCATGATTAAAATTAAAATGCTCTCCTATTTTGTCCTAATAAAATTGAAAAAATTCAAATAAAAACTAAAATCATTAATCATTATTTTAGGTATCACTACATCATAATGTACTGTATTTAAAAAATATTTTAAAAAATTGAAATTTGCTGAAGATTGCATTATAAGGTTTTATTAAATGTTAATGATCGCAAAGTAATCTAAAAACCTCTATTATCAAATAAATAAAAAATAAATCTCTAATATCAAGCTGTAACAGTTATGATGCCGATATATTGTGTGACTAACAGACCAAAATGTAAGTCAACAGCAACTTGATCCTCACATAAAGCTATTATATAAAATAGTGAATTAAGTAATATGGATTTCTTTCATAGTGCATTTTTACTACAAATTCATTGTTGCCATATACTGTAAAACTTGTCAAGATTACCCATAATTTCATACCGGAATCATTACATGTGCAATATTCCAGTAAGATAGGTCAACCAGGGGCCAGTTGCATAAACTTAGCCTCTATGTTAAGACAGTATCTTAAGAACTAGTTTGACCAACTAGCAGTTAACCAAGGGGTAATTAGTCTGGTATTTTTGATTCAACAAAATTTCATTTTATGTAACCGGATTTAAAAAATTTTGACCAGTCTTAAAGAAAAAAATTAGATGACTTACTTTTAAGACTAGTCTAAACCTTTTATGCAACCGGCCCCAGAGGTCTTAAACGGAGGAACAGTGTCTGATTTCCACAGCCTTAGAATGACACTCTTAGCAATAATCATTCTGTAAATTTTGGTACTTTGTACAACCTTTTTAGATTTTTTGTGTGTGAATGCTTTAGTGCCAGTCAGAATAAAACAGTTATTGTCAAAATGAATACTAACACTAGTTTTTAATTAAGAACCTAACTTGAATTGACCTCAAAACTGAACTCATATTGGAGATTATGCTTGGCCACTAAAATAGTGCACTTATAGTTTCATAATAACATGCTGCTTCATTAGTGTAGCGTTAATCTCTGCTGTGACCTCTCATTTTACTGAAGCCACAGACTTAGCAGTTCAGCCGAGCAGAGCTCTTCATCACACCTCATGCGTAGACACAAACGCCGACGACGGAAGCAGAAAGTCATCAAAATGGACAGGGTGAGAATGTGGAGGAAAAAGTACACATCTCTAAACATTTGTGTTTGATCTGTACTAATCTTTTATGCGTTCTTTTGACAGTCCTCATCCTTCAGTAGTATTACAGACTCCACAATGAGCCTCAACATTATCACTGTCACTCTCAATATGGGTAAGAACTTATTCACTAGATCACTCCTTTCTTTTTCCCATCATCCATCCCTGTGCCTCCTCCCTCTTATCTCTTATCTTTTCACTCCACCTGCTTAATAAACCGAACCTGCTGTATTTCAAGGTCTAGTGTGCTCTAAATATAGATGAACACGTCATTGGAAGTTCACAGCCTTATCTCTCTTTCTCACAGAGAAGTACAACTTCTTGGGTATCAGTATAGTGGGTCAGAGTAATGACAGAGGAGACGGAGGCATCTATATTGGCTCTATTATGAAAGGTGGAGCGGTGGCGGCTGACGGCAGGATTGAGCCTGGAGACATGCTGTTACAGGTGAAATGATCAGCAGTCTGAAACCACTTTCAAGAGGGACCTAGACACTGGTCTAATGCACTTTTAGGAAGATTAAAAATGATAAAATATGCTTCCAAATAATTGCCAGGATCCACAATGTTACTTAAAGGAGTAGTTCACTTCCAGAATGAAAATTCTGTCATCATTTACTCACCTTCCACTTGTTTCAAACCTGTATGAGTTTCCTTCTTCTGTTGAACACAAACGAAGATATTTTGAAAAATGTTGGTATCCGAACAGTTGGTGAGCACCATTGACTTCCATAGTAGGAAAAAAAATACTGTGGAAGTCAATGGTGCTCATCAACTGTTCTGTTCTGTTCTGAAGTGAACTACTCCTTTAAAGGGAAATTCTGTCATGATTTTCTCACCCTTATGTCATTCTATTAGGTAAATACCACTTAAATGTGAACACCAGGAAAATCATCTTGAATATATCCTCAATGTCATTGCGACATTGTCAAATTTAAATAGATCATTTACACTTGCAATGATTCCTTGAACAGAACTGAAACTGGCCTGTTATTGTAAGTCTCTTCTCTTTTTAGTTTCTAAATGCACTTGTGGAATTGTCAAGGTTTGGGTCACCTCCCTGTGTTGTTGACTTATTGTGCTCCACTCCCTTTCCTTCCTGCTAAAGGACCTTTTGGTGTCATTGACCAACAAGGGACAGAGTGGTGCTTTCAAGTCTTTAGTCATTTATTTACATAACAAAGGGGTTTTCCTCACCCTGGTGATCTGATTTAGCAACCATAATGGTTAGATGACCCTGTGTTATTAGGTGAATTTTGCAGAATGATGTCCAAGTGACCATAAAACATCACATATGTGACCCTGGACCACAAAACCAGTCTTAAGTCGCTGGGGTATATTTGCAGCAATAGCCAAAAAAACATTGTATGGGTCAAAATTATTGATTTTTCTTTTATGCCAAAAATCATTAGGATATTAAGTAAAGATCATGTTCCATGAAGATATTTTGTAAATTTCCTACTGTAAATATATTAAAACTTAATTTTTGATTAGTAATATGCATTGCAAAGAACTTAATTTGGACAACTTTAAAGGCGATTTTCTCAATAATTTGTTTTTTTTTTTGTACCCTCAGATTCCAGATTTTCAAATAGTTGGACCTCAGCCAAATATTGTCCTATCCTAACAAACCATACATCAATGGAAATCTTATTTATTCAGCTTTCAGATGATGTATAAATCTCAATTTCGAAAAATTGACCCTTATGACTGGTTTTGTGGTCCAGGGTCACATATGTAAACCAACAGGCAGTTTGGTAGACTAAGAAACTGTGGCTTTTTTAAAGCCATTCTTTTGAAGAATTAATTAACCTTATAGTAATTATTTGCTCACTAATTTGTTCCAAACTCATTTTAATTTATTTCTATTGTTATACATAAAAAGAGACATCCTGTTCATCCTTTTTTTTATGCAATTTGTAGTAAAAATGCACTATGAAAGAAGTCCATATTACTTAATTCACTATTTTATATAATAGCTTTATTTGAGGAACAAGTTGACTTACATTTTGGTCTGTTTGTCACGCAAAGCTATCAGATTTCAGAATATAGTCATTTGTTCCATTTTTATAATACCTTTATGGAGCGTCTAAGTCACACCTAGTTTCCATTCACCTTTTTTATTGAAAAGAGTGGCCAGGATTCTCTTCGTTCACCTTTTATGTTCCATACAAGAAACTAACTCATATGAGTTTTGTAGTCATTTTTGACAATTTTTTATTTATACTAATTGTATTATTCATTATTTTATTTATGAAATTTATTATTTTATTAATAATTATTAATTTATATATTTTTTACTGTCTTTTAAATAAGTTCCTCAAATATTAATATATATATATATATATATATATGTTTATATGTAAAAACTTATAGTGGAGGAGCATCTACAAATAATACAATAACAGTTCATTATGATTCCATATTGACTCTGCACAACAGTTGCATTTAAACACATAGGGACTATTGTTGAGAAATGTAAGCAATTTTCAAGTTAAAAAACTCTTCATCTGATGTAATGCATCAAATGATGGGAGGTTTAATGGAAATATATTTTCCTCAGGTCAATGACGTGAACTTTGAGAACATGAGTAATGATGATGCTGTCAGAATTCTACGGGAGATTGTCTCCAAACCTGGGTGAGATTGGATGTTACACCTCAGTTGATTGATAAATTTTCAGTGAATCTGAATGCTCTCTTTAACTTGGTTTCGTGTTTCATTTGTCCTCTACAGGCCAATAAGCCTAACAGTGGCCAAATGTTGGGACCCCTCTCCTAGAAGCTACTTCACCATCCCTAGAGGTACCTACCGCCCGCCATTATAGCAGCTAAATTATAGACATGAAGACCCATGCTGCATTCATCCAGTTCATTTTTTGGATCAGTTTTATTGGATTGTACTTAAATTCTGCCATCTGTCTGTCCTCAGCTGAGCCGGTGAGACCCATCGACCCTGCTGCCTGGATCTCACACACTACTGCACTTTCTGGGCCATACCCCCATTATGGTATAATCAAAGTCACTGTCCTAGAGATCATCTGTTAATAGAATGGCAGATTTATGATGCTCAACACTGTCATTTCTCTCTCATTTCACAGAGTTTGATGACCTCCCCCTTTTAGTGTCAAAAACAGACATGGCAACTATAGTAAAAGTCATGCAGTTACCAGATTCAGGCCTGGAGATTAGAGACCGAATGTGGTTAAAGATCACTATAACCAACGCTGTCATCGGTTTGTGCCTTTCTTTGCTGTGGTTTGAATTTGTTGGGTGGGAGATACTTTCCTTGTGCCTTGTTTATTGCAAGTATCTAGTTTTTGGTAGATGTTTTGTATAATCAATGTAATCAGTGTTATTTTTCTCATTGCTCAATCTCTGTGTTCCAGGGGCTGATGTTGTCGACTGGTTGTTCTCACGGGTGGAGGGCTTCAAGGACCGTCGGGATGCTAGAAAATACGCCAGCAGTTTGTTGAAACACGGCTACCTGAGACACACAGTCAATAAAATCACCTTCTCGGAGCAGTGCTACTACACCTTTGGAGACCTGTGCCAAAGTACAGTGAACACACACTTCTTGAGTTGATAAAGATTCTCTTGTTAACTTTTATATCACCAAGGCTACATTTATTTGATCAAAAATATAGTAATATTGTGAAATATTATTAGAAATTAAAATAACTGTGTTCAATGTTAATGTATTTTGAAATGTAATTTATTAATGTAATGGCAAAGCTGAATTTTCAGCAGCCATTACTCCAGTTTTTAGTGTTGCATGATTCTTTAGAAATCATTCTAATATGCTGATTTTGAAACATTTCTGATTATTATCAGCATTAAAAACTGTGATTATTTCAAGTTTCAAGTTTCAAGTTTCAAGTCTGCTTTATTGTCAATTCTTCCACATGTACAGCACATACACACAGAGAATTGAAATTGCGTTACTCTCAGACCCTTGGTGCATACAGATAACACTGTATGCACCAAGTGTGGTCACTTGGTCACCAAGTGACCCTTGCCACAGTTTTCACAGTGGCAGTGCAGGCAGCCAACAGAGCGAAGGTGGGTGTTGTTTGTGTGTAAGACAGCGCAGTAAATGATGCACTGATAGATAAAAGGGAATTATGTCTTTACTATCACTTTTGATCAATTTAATGTATCTTTGCTGAATAAGAGCATTCATTTCTGTCAAAAGAAAAGAAATGACCAACCCCACCAACTTATGAACACTAGTGTACCTTTAATACATTAAGATAAGATCTGGCTTAAAGGTTAAAGTCAAAGATTTGGTGCTTAGAGTCATAAACCGTCATTAATAATACTACAATTAAAATGACGTGAAATATAGATAATTGTAATGATATTGAAATTCTTCTGTTTTCAGATATGGCTTCTCTCAATCTGAACGAGGGATCTAGTGGTGGGGGCTCTGACCAGGATGGTCTCGCTCCTCTTCCTCCACCAGGAACCAACCCCTGGCCCCTCGGCGGTCAGCCCTACCCTTACCCAGGTTACCCCACTCCTCCACCGGGCTTCCCTCCTGGATACTCGGACCCTTGCCACAGTTTTCACAGTGGCAGTGCAGGCAGCCAACAGAGCGAAGGTGGGTGTTGTTTGTGTGTAAGACAGCGCAGTAAATGATGCACTGATAGATAAAAGGGAAAACCCCTTTCCACGCTCGTCCCCACACACAATCCTGTGAGCTTCCTGTGTGACTTTTTCTTTCAGTTTCAGGTGTGCCTAATGATGTTAAGTAACAACTATTACGTTACTAACTGCTCAGATGTATTGTAAATGGAATTTACTACAGTAAAATGGAAACCATCAGTGGGTTTGTTGTAAATCTGCATGAAGGATGATTAGGTACAATACTACAATATATTCATGCAGACTGAGTTTTGCTTTCAGTACCTGAATGAACACGGCACCCAGCCAGAATGACATCATTGACACAAGACTAGTAAATCATGTGCACATATTTGCATGATTAGACCACTTTTCAGTTTGTCCATTTATTCAGAAAGTATTTAAAATATTAAGTTTTAAAAATCAACTATTTTGACATATTAGCAGTTGATACTAATGTAAATCAAATGCATAGTAATTAATTAGTCAGATACAGTTAAACTAGAAGTAAACAAAGGCTGATGTTGCATTCGTAACACCATTGCTGGACATGAAAATGATCTATCATGTGAATGATTATAATTTATGTGTTATTTAATTCAAGGTACTAGACATATTATGAGTTAAAGATTTAGGACAGACTTTAATATTGACACCTGACTATATGTAACCAAACAGCATGCATGACAAAGTTTTGATACATACATTTTAATAAACATTAAACCCTAAAGATATACTTCACAATCAGGAAAAATTCTGATGTTTTTGTATTATTGCTTCTAAATTGCCCAAAACAATACAAACATATTTAAAGAAGATATAATGATGAATAATTAATTGTAAATAAAATTGCATAATATATAATATAATACATGAATAATAAAGAGTAATCATAGTCATAAAATAGCATTAATTAATTACCTTTTCTGTAACTTTCTCAAAACATTTTACTTTTATTTATATAAGTATATATATATATATTATATTTATACTTTGTTTATATTTTGAAATTTATTGATATATTTGAGAATTTATTTTTTATCTTTATCATTGTTACATTTATTGAGTGTTACAATTATCCTTTCTTTAAATTAAATGATTTTATTTATTGAATTAAAAAAAGTAAATAATGAAATCTGGTTTAACAGTAAGACTAAATCAAGATCTCAAATGACAACTATTTTCTTTTCAATTATTCCATTTTCAGAGCATCATCATTGTCGCTGTATTCACTTGGATATTCCATATATGTGGTATGGCCAGACTTTTAAATAATTTACACTGCTTATGCCACCCTTTGCATAAATGTGCATGGTGGAGTTAGTACAGAGTTGGGAATGTGAATCAGTAATAATGCAAAGGTCATTGATCGTAATGACTTTTTTAACTCCAACATACTCAAGTTTGGTTGCTTCCGGAAGCATAACATATGGTGGCATCACAGAAACTGGGGTGCAGGGTTTTTTTGAAGAGCTTGTTGCTATATTCGGTGTGGGAGTGTGAGATAGAAGATCTGGTTGGGCAACATGTCATAATTCTGATATTCCCTCTGTTTTTGCTGGCCGTCTATAGACTGATGGAATTTTCTTCTATTCACGGGGTAACCGGTAAGATTAGCACTCTCATTTAAACGTCCTCCCGCCCCAACTTTTCTCCTTTACATCTTGTTATTCCAGTGGTTTGTCATCATATGGCATATGAATCATTGGGGTGCCCATTTTGACTCCCCAGCTGTGTTGTTTGTTTGTGTTTCTTGTGTGGGCATGTGCAGTTTTACTCTCATTGTGCATGAGAATCTGACTGATTCTCATCCTTTGAAAAGTTGTTATGCAATACACTTACTATTTTTGCCAGTCTGAATGAACTTGGAAAAGTTCAAGTGAATATTTCCATGATACTGTATGATGTGAGTTGAAGCTTATTGCATTCCCAAGAACTGTATTATCACAAAAATGTAGGCCATCCATGTCATTCTGACCTACTCTCAATGCTGACGTTGGTTAAAGGGGTCATATGATGTTGCTAAAAAGAACATTATTTGGTGTATTTGGTGTAATGAAATGTGTTTATGCGGTTTAAGGTTAAAAAACACATTATTTTCCACATACTGTACATTATTGTTTCTCCTCTATGCCCCGCCTTTCTGAAAAGCGTCGATTTTTACAAAGCTCATCGGTCTGAAAAGCGAGGTGTATGCTGATTGGCCAGCTATGCAGTGCGTTGTGATTGGCCGAATACCTCAAGCATGTGACGGAAATGTTACGCCCCTTACCATACTGTGATGAGCAGCAAGACAAAAACATTAAAACCCATTATAAACGAGGCATTTGTTGCACCTTGTCCCGGCCGGAGCGACGAGAAGTAAAAAGTAAAACCCATTATAAACGAGGCATTTGTTGCATCCAGTGGGGACATAATTACTGATTATACTGTCTTTTTACGCGTTGCGTTGAATCGCGCCGCATAAACATAAAACCATGTCTGCATTTGTGATCGGAGAAATTACGAACAACAAGCGCTACTCTACACTGCTCAAAACTCGCGTTTGAATCATCAGTGGCAAATCCTTTAAATGAAATCGTATTACAGTCTGTGAGTCAGAACAGCCGGCATTGTAGTCTACTCTACCAGGATCAGGAAACAGTCCTCCATAAAATGCGCTGCACACATCTGAATATTTGGGTTGAACTGTTCTGTAACAGTGTTGTAAATACAACTTAACCACTGATTTCTAGTCGTGTCCTCTTTTGGAAGGCCAAACAAAGTATTTTCGCTTTCGCAACGAAACACACAGCGTCTTCACAACATGGCCGCAGCGGCAGCAACAATAAAGTTACGCCTTCTGTCTTTGCGTGAACATTTGGGCGGCGTTATGCAAATCTTCCCACACAGTAACGTAGACATGTGGGGGCGTTTTTAAACGAGGTGTTTTAGGAGGGTGTGGACAAGTCTTAACTTTTATAAAGAATATCTCTTTGGTTAGTCTTTGCGACTTTAGGGATCTTATCTATTCACGAATAGCTTGTAACACTCCAAAGAGAAAGGAAAACTTGAAATCGCATCATATGACCCCTTCAAAACGCATATCCACCACAAAATGTTCATATTTGTACCATATCGTTTCTGTTGATGTATTGATGTTAATTATCCTCATGGTATTGCTGACCTTCACACCACGTCCTAACCAGGTGCGACATTACAGCCAATCAGAGCACAGATGAAGAGCGTAAAACTAAACATGTACCTTCCATGATGCTTCTCCAGACAGCTTTTTTATGGTGTTTCTTGTCAGAATTGCGGAATTTGTTTTGGTTGTTTTTAGTATTACATACAGAATATTTGTTAATATTTTGGACATTTTTGCATTTTATTTTAATGAGACCGTTTCTGTTGAGAACAAAAATGTTGCTGCACAACATGAGGGATTTGTTAGATCTTTGTCAGCTTCCACAATCATTCTGTCCTTGTATATTTTTGATGTTTAATATAGGCTACACTACTGTTCTAAAGTTATGGTTTGGTTAAGATTTTTCAACATTTTTGAAAAGTCTCTTACGCAATTTTTTTGATCAAAAACAGTAAAAATAGTATGAATATCACAATTAAAATGAACTGTTTTCTCTTTTTAATATATTTTGAAATGTAATTTATTCCTGTGACGACAAAGTTTAATTTTTAGCCATTAATCCAATCTTCAGTGTCACATGATCCATCAGAAATCATTCTAATATGCTGATTTGGTGCTCACGTAACATTTCTTCTAGTGCTGTCAAACGATTAATCGCGATTAATCGCATCCAAAATAAAAGTTTTTGTTTACATAATATATGTGTGTGTACTATGTATATTTATTATGTATATATAAATACACACTCATACAGTATATATTTTGATATATACTGTATTTACATTATATGTATTTACATGTATATATTTATATTATATATAAATACATTTAATATACAAATATAACATTTTTCTAAAATATAAACATGCATGTGTGTATCTAAATATACATAAATATACACAGTACACACACATTAATTATGTAAACAAAAACTTTTATTTTGGATCCGATTAATCGCGATTAATCGTTTGACAGCACTAATTTCTTCTTATTATCAAAGTTGAAAACAGTTGTGCTGCCAACCTTGATACGTTTATTTTTCACGATTCATTGATAAATAGAAAGTTCATAAGAACAGGATTTATTTTAAACATTTTTAAAACAAAGTAAAAGTCTTTCTACTGTCATTTTTGATCAATTTAATGCATCATTGCTAAATAAAGGTACTCATTTGTCCTCAAACATTTGAAACGTAGTGTAAATGAGAAGCTGGGTTTTTATGAGATTTTGCGTGGGTTGACGCTGCAGAAATACAAATCAAGCAACTAACCAAATGTAGATGTTCTTGTCACAGCTGTAATTCGAAATTCGGGTAAAATGGAAAAAATGGCTGCCATTGCTAGTCAAGTCTGGTTAGCATATGGTTTTCTAAGGGAAAATAATACTACTTTTGTCCAAATACATTTATCTCTCACCACAGGTAGCAGAAGCAGTGGCTCCAACCCCAGTGCTGGGAAAGGCCGGAGACCCTCCCCTCGAGAGAAAGACCATAAGGCAACGTGCTGTGGGGGCAGTGAACCAGAAATGGGAGCATGGGTCGTAAGGAGGGGTGAGAGAGCACCCAGTCAGCTGAGTCATCAAAGCCATAGCCACTCTGCTGCCAGTCAGGCCCACTCCAGCCACAGCTACACTCACTCTGGGTACAGCCACTGCCAGTGTGTCAGCATCTCGCAGCATAGCCACAGCTTCACCTACAGCAATGCCCCTTTCATTCAGCCCAATCATCTGTCCTGTGCCCACAGTGAGAGAAGTCACGGCTCTTCGTACGGCCCGCCGGGTCTGCCCCCTCCCTACTGCCTCGCTCACCTCGCCCCCAAAGCGACAGCAAGCAACAGCCCACCTGGGGCACCCCCAGTCCGGGAGCTAGGAAACGTCCCCCCAGAACTCACCGCTAGTCGGCAGTCATTTCAACACGCTATGGGCAATCCTTGTGAATTTTTTGTTGATATTATGTGACAGGAGAGTGCCTTCAACCCTTTCAGAGCACAAGGCCTACTTCCCGCAGTTTGCGTCATCAACTTTTGCTACTGACGATCCCTGCACTGAGAATGTACAAACTGACAGCCCGATTTAAAGCATTTAAAGGGACAGTTCACCCAATAATGGAAGTTCTGCAACTTGCTCATTTATCCTGTTTCTTTCTTTTGTGGAACAAAAAATTACTGTTGTAATTGTTAACTAAAACTATTAAAAACTGTTTTCAGTAATTGAAATAAAGCTGAAATCAAATATAAATATTAGATGAAAAACTAAAGTGAAAATTAGAAATGTTGCCTTGGCAACTAACAGAAATACATTTAAAGTGAAAGTGACGTGGCCAAGTATGGTGACCCATACTAGGAATTAGTGCTCTGCATTTAACCCATCCAAAGTGCACACACACAGCAGTGAACACACACACCGTGAACACACACCCGGAGCAGTGGGCAGCCATTTTTTGCTGCGGTGCCCAGGGAGCAGTTGGGGGTTCGGTGCCTTGCTCAGGGGCACCTCAGTCGTGGTATTGAAGGTGGGAGAGAGCGCTGTACATTCACTCCCCCCACCTACAATCCCTGCCGGTACGAGACTCGAACCCGCAACCTTTGGGTTACGAGTCCGACTCTCTAACCATTAGGCCACGACTTCCCCCATGTTGAAGTCCTAAAATGTTTTATTTTTTTACTTAATTTTTATACATTAAAGCAATTTACAAACAATGAACTAAACATTTCTTGACAACAGCAGTGTTCCTAAAATGATTTAAACTAAATAAAATATAGAAATATTGTATAGAAATATTAAAAAAGAACTAATAAAAATGATAAATTCACATAATTAACTAAAACTTTCAAATCAAGCTAAGTAAAAATATTAATATAATAGCATATAAATAATACTTAACACTGCAATTTTTTTTATTCCTGAACACATTTTATCCAGAATATTCTGACAACTCTTTTCTATATAATGAGAGTGAGTAGGGACAAGGGCTTTCAAGCTACAAAATGACAAAAAAACACCATAAAAGGAGAAGGAAGGAAGGAAGGGTGAAGAGAAGATTATCATTAGTTACCAGCTTAGCTTTCTGTGACCAAAATGTATCGTATGTCTTCAGAAGACTTATATAGCCCACTTTTGTTGCATGGACTACTTTTTTTTGTTGTCATTTTGGAGTATTTCAGGACAGCCCCAGTCCCCTTTTACTTCTATTATGTGGAAAGGAATGACCAGGATATTTAAAAAAAAAATCAATTTTTGTGTTCCACAGAAGAGAGAAAGTAAAAAAAATAAGAGTGAGCTAATGATGACCGATTTTTCATTTTTGGGTCAACTCTTTCTTTAATGTCCATTCAATGTTATTTAGATCACCGAAGGACACTTAAAAAAATAAGCACAACTGCAGAGTTAATTTAAACTGACACAAAAACTACAAACTGCAGTAGCAGCACAAGATACAACTAATAAGCTTTTAACAGGAAAGTCAGTGTATCAGACTGTCTGCTTCCTAACTCAGCTGCTCTGCACTTTGCGCAAGTTACAAGCCAGACAACATGACTCTTTACACAGTCCGTACTTTTAAATGTATTCACGCTCTGGATTATTTTTTTCCTTACACAGTTGCATTTGACTTAATGTTCACAAAGTCATAACCCTGTTGACAATCAGACATCATAATGACAATTGACGTCCCTAAACATTGCTGAATGTATTGTGAGGCTACAACTCAGAATTCCCTCATTAACTTGATAGCATGTTAAGCTATCACTAAATAAATGCTCAGATGTTAATTTTGGACTCATGGTTGCCAAATGTCCATCATGAACTGTAAATGTACATGATACATTTTTAACAATAACAAACAGGTGCTTTTCATAGCATCTGTGAACTGACTGTTCAGATGTCACCAGTTGTCTTAGTATTCACCACTGTATTACGAACGTCACTGTACAGTTAATGCAGTAGAATGGTAGTAGGCCTTGTAAGTTATAACAGAGATATTAAAACAGACAGATAGGCTAACCAAAGTCCCTTGACAATTACTGAGTCATGATTTTTTGTTCTAAAACAGTTGTTTTTGGAGGAAGGATATGATATTTGTTATGGTCAAATTTACTGGAAAAGCAGTGAGGTGTTGTCTTTGTTCGTCCTATCTGCCTGAGCCAAAACAGGAAAGAGTAAGAGTTTGTTAAGCACTTTTGGAATGTAACTTCTGGGCCCTTTAGAATGAAACGCTGATTGCAGTGAAAGAGGTTTGCTTTATTGTTTCTTCACAAAAGAGGAATAATAAATTGTAAATATGATAACATAACATATATATATATATATATATATATATATATAAAACTGAGAAAATAAAAATGTATGTATTAAGAAGTGGCCAGCCATTGTCTTGGAAGTGTTTTTTTTTTCTTTATTCAAAAACACAGCTTGTTACAAAAGTAGCTTATTTTAGTCTACTGGCACCATCAGGTCTCTATTTTCTATTTGGCGGACAACATTGGAGTCACTGGTAAAAGCTTACGGCAGTGATATCTGTTATCTGTTTTGTCTGCATGATTTGTGCTGCCACAACACCGGATCATTTTCAAAGAACTGATGTCTCCGGTCTTCTCATTTTTGTCCTGTACGCCCAAGATTATACAATTTATAAGACAAGCTCTGTGTTGTGTGTGCATCTAGTATTATGAAACTTGTGAGAAGGTATCATTTTTACATCTCCAAAGCATAGTTTCTGATAGGGGTCATATCTCCAGAGAGTTGGTGAAGTGGTAAAACCACATATTTTCCACACTGAACCAATGATCAGAAAAGTTGATCTCAAAACTAAAGTTACCAAGTACCAAAACTTGAGATAGAAATCTATTCTGAATAACTGGCAATATTGTAGGTTTTGAACACATTCTTGATATCATTTGTCATAATTGTTTCCAAAACACAACTAATACTAATTATATACCAAAAATGTGTAATTAGTGATACGACCATACATTATAATATGTACATAAAATATTTTAACTCTCATATTTCTGTATAATTAATTACTTGTGTGGCAAGTTAATGGGATAATGTACATCCAGCCGGAAGTTAGCGTAGAATAAACACACATTGTTATATAAAAAAGTATATATATGTTCAATGTATGACTTTAAATATTTTTTACTGCTCAGGTATTTTTTTTAATCCACACTTAATAGTGATGAACCATGTAAATTACATTTCTGATGTGCTAAATGTCTATTACACCTCATAAATTATGTATGTATATTACATCATTATAAAGTTTCTTTAAAGAGAATAGTTGATGGTAAGCCTGAGTAGATTCTGAAACACTTACTGGCATAGGTACAGAAGTGTTTTCCCTGCTACTTGTAAGACATTTGCATGAGTGTGCCCTGCTCTGGCTGTGACACACTACTGCAGCTTCTCAGTATGAGGAAGTGAGCTTAGGCCCCTTGACAGGCACGTGCACAGGTAGGGCTCAACCTGTGCAGAGCAACATGCCCTTTTTTGTCCTTACACTCCGAAGTGCCCTTTTTTTTTTTGGTTTT